TCTCACTATATGTACTCACTATAACCAACATCCTGTTTTGCACACAGACCACCTAGTTTTCGATGTCACGACCCACTAAAAGTACGAATTCGCATAACGCTTCGGTCGTTTGAGTTCGTCTTCTTAGCAGTCCGCAATGTCATAAAATAAATACCAGCTCAGACAGGCATTTGAATTCGGCCAAAAAACTTTTCAATTGAAGAGGAAATGAGCAACTATTAACAACCCGACCAGGTACAGAACTAGATTAACGCCAAGTCACATCTCCAAACTGCATCTTGCAAACACGCAGTTGGATGACCACGTGGCAAAATAGAGTTGAATTACATCCCAGAAGCAGAATATGAGCTGCTGTTCGTGAAGAACTAGACAGCCTGCGCACGCTTACCGGAATACTCTCTTGGGAATCAGTGTAAGCTGGTGGTACAGTGGAGAGGGCATTTGAGCCAATTTCTGCGGCAGATTTAAGTTTACCGGCGTCAAGGTCAGATTTGCACTCTGTTTCCCGTTGTGAGCCTAGCTTCGTTGCAGACTGTAAACAAGAAAAGCAATAAGGGAATCGGGGAAATTAAACGGCACCTTTCGTGCTCACGGGCATAAACGGACAAAAGCTGCAGACGTGTTAGCTGACTTAACTTGAGGTGCAAAATCCTTAAGGGCAGCTCAGGAGTAAAGTCTATGATGTCGCTAACCACGCTTTAGTGTCCGTACTTCTTAATGAATATTAATGTCAAATCAGGATTTCTTCTATGCACGTAAATGTCCGGAGGTTCGTCAGATGCACAGAAAACCCCGCAAGTAACTGGGCGTCTGTTAATGGGTTCGAATGTTGGACCGCATTCTTGGAGAAGTCTACAACTATGAAGAGAAGGGTAAGTGCCCCTTTGCCAACTAGAAGAAAAGAACCCTTGTCAGTGCGGTTAAGGCCCCTGACTTTAACCAACAGGTCGCGGTTCGAACCTTAGAGGTTGAAATCCTGGCATCAGGTATGAATGACTAATACCGTCTAATGAACCACAAACTGCCATTTTAGTTTCCTTCATCTTTGTCTGCAATTTTATGCTCAACCCCAGGCTATCAGAAGCTTGGACCCAAACTTGGTACCATTGGTCACTGAACTGGGTTGATTATCTTCGATGCAGATGCCTGTTGTAAATTCCGGTTTCAGTTTTATGAAATATCATGCGGGAGTTGTACAACGGAGTACATCTATGCAGAGCACGCAAAAAATAAAACCGATAGAACAGCGTTGAGCTTAACTTTAACTATTTTCTAACTCCACGATAATTAAGTGACGAGTTGGTCGTGATCTTAATTTATCACTGTTGTTTGGTTAAACATAAAAGATGGCAGTTAATGGGTGGCTTTCAAATCAAGTGGTCTTAACAGTAAGCTCAAATGTGTAGGAATTAGTTTTTATTTCTGGGCGCATCGGCAAGCAGAGGTTTAACAGTAGACACTGGATTTCTGTCATACTCTTCCGCATTCAGTAAGATTAAAAACTACCGGGGCTGCCAGCTTATGCTTGTGTCTATTATCGACACTGTTCGCACTGACTCGAGTCTTGTGTTTATCATCTAGTAGGGGGGTAAACGTGATTGACATGATAAGTGTGCAATCGAAAACCAACTTTCGGGAATCACTCAGGACGTTCCTTAC